CCAAAAATTCTTAGTTTTTGAGTTGCTGTAAGCCCACACAGGTGTGGGCAATAGTATATTCCTGTATGCTTTACACAAGTACAAGTCTCTGTCCAGGGGCTGGCAGGACCATGTTATAACTGTGTTTGTGCATGTTTAATGACCACTAGCTACCTGAAACTAAAAAACACTCCTGCACAATGAAACACAAAACACCAGAAAATACTATTCAATAATAGCATCATAATCCTCCAAATTACTGTCACTGTCTTTATCCAGACTTACTGTCATTGTCTAGTACCCACAGATCACCTCCAAAAGACCACCAACTGGCCAAGGTAAGCACTGGAAAAGCTATCCAAGGCCAATGACAGGGAATTTGCCAGGTGATCACCTAGTTTTCTTTGACTGCATCATAGTATAGTGTTATGAATTAAATAATCCACATTTATTAAAATTATATTAATATTTTTTAAATCTATATTCACTTTTGAGTTGTTGACATCACTGTAAAGCTACTCCATCCAGATGATAAGGTGGACACCCAGTGACAACACACACTCAATATTGGGTCTTATTTTAACTGGTAGACATGATACTGTTCATGAATTTCCTCAGCTTGATTAAATTTTTCTCCTTCACCTTCCTACCATTTCCAGGAAAATCCTTAGTCACAACAAATTAGTAAAGTTTATTTTAGGTGAATAACAGACAACCCTCTCTGCCCTAAGACAGACAAAGGTCAGAACACCATATAGACAGACTGTAAACTGAATCAAACCCCCATGTATGATTTACCTCTCGGGAGCTGCTGCAGCAGTATGTTCAAAAAGTCTGGGAGAGGGGATGCTGCCAGGGGAGGAATCTGCTATTGGCAAAAGAGCAGCTGTAGGTTCTGGTCTAGCACTGTTTTCACTCCATTCACAGTAATAAAATCGAGTGGAAACACACAGAGAAAGAGATTTTTAATCCACATTAAACCAGTATGCTGAACAGGAAACACTGTTCATGAAAGTGTCAGTAAATTGAAAACAAGGCACAATGAATCCCCCCACAAAAAACATCAGAAAGACCACAGAGTTTACAGCAAAATACAATTAGGGGGACAAAATGATGTGCAATACACTTAGGAAGTATCATGCTTTCAGTGAAGGTTGAGAGTGTCCTACTACTCTTAAACTCAGAATGGCAAGTAGTATTTTATATTTACAGAGATGGAATACATCTATTTAGGATTACTTAGTGTTACTTCTTTAGGAAATACTGGGAAAGAAAGTGACACAAGGGTGTTAGTTTTTTGAAGGTTAAACTATATACTTCTCAATATGTTTTTATATTCTTTTATTCAGTTGCGACAGGGGGAAAAAAATCTAGAAAATGTTGTTTTGAAGTGCCCTACTTGAAGAAAAGCACCTGTCAGACATATCACTAATAAACAAAAGTCAAGTAGAGAGCAATCACAGCAAGTTTTGAGCAGACTAAATTAGCTGCAGAAGCAGCATTGCTATCTTTTTTTTTATTATTATGTTAGCATGCAGAATTATGTATTTTAATAAAGTGGGGAGCTTTAAGTGCTAAGAATTATTGAACAGACTTAGGAATGACAAGGGAGCAGACCTAATAGGTGGTAAAGGTGTGGATGGAAATTCTGGTGCAGGTGGCATCACCAAAGGTGGAGTAGCAATGGAGTTTTTATTCAAATTAATACAGGTATCCTGGGCTCCTGCTGCATCAGGTCCACCTGCAGGTGTGCTTTGCAGACATTTATGACATGGAGGAGAAAAAAATAAATACATGACCTATTACAGGTTGTTTCAGGACTGACCAGAGTGGAACAAATATTTTCCAGCCACTATAGATTAGCTAAACCACAAATATGGAAAATCCAGGCACATCTTCATTCAGAACTGACTCTATGATTTAAGGCCAAAACCAAATCTGCACCTGGTTGCTCAAAAGGAAATGGTTAGAAGTGAACATTTAAAACAAACTTAGAAATAGGGTGCTGCAGAAATGGAACTAATCAATTGCTAAAACACATAAATAAACTTTGTACAAAGGCTAGACATTGTCTTTCTAAGTTTTAGGTAACTGGTTTAAGAGCTGCAATTTACACACTGCAGTGAGGGTCTTCTATTTTTATTTCCTGTCCTTCCAGCAGCTGAAGTGAAAAATCTATTTTATCCACACAAAAATCCCTACTGGGTTACAGTTTAGAAATAAACAATAATCAAAAACACACAGAACATTTGTCTTGGACAATGTCTGCCTGAAAAGCTGAATATTATTAAATTGGGATATTGTTCTGTAGATTACTGATGAAAGAGAAGTTTCTATTTCATCGTGATATTCATCCTTCTAGGTGATCTCTTAAATATATGCTTATTCATTTATATAAAAATATCCACTCAGAGTATTTTTTCAAACATCAGATGTATGCTGGGAATCAGACATGAGCTAGGGCATGTTATACACATGCAAATGAAAAAGCAGTCCATTGTTTTGGAAACAATAAGAAAAATCCAAAATCTAATGGCAGCAAGAACTGTGCAATGGGGATACCAGACAGAAAGATGACATCTGTAATACCAAATGAAATTTAGCAGTAAACGAAATTAATTTCACACATTCATAAAACATTTTTGGAACTAGTGTTTTTTTTTACTATGGATTTATAGAAAACTAATAATTTTGGTGGTCTTTCTCCAACTATTCTCATATACTCAGAAGACAGACTCCATGACCACCTATGTTTAATTTTAACCAAAACAGAGGCTTCTATTGTTTGGATTATTTAGAGAGGTTTTTTTCCTTCTATTTCTCACTAAAGCAATTCACCCTTCAAAGGGATAATAGCTGCTAAGATAGATAAACATAACAGTAACTTAAATGACAACATAAAACTTTTTTCATTATGTAGGAACATATCCAAAACATAAATACACTTGAAGGTCAAACCATTCTGCTCTTAGGAAGAAACTTTTACAGACTCTAAGTGATAACCTTTCATAGTTTTCACTGCACTGATGTTCTCTCCCACCTTCCTTTCTGTCCATAAAGAAATAATTTTACCCCAGCCAAACAATTTGAACACACTATTTCACTTTCCTGCTTTAATACACAAGTATTCCATCAAATGATTATATTGTGGTGTATGTACACTCAGTAACACACTTGGGTTTAGTATCACAGTACTCACTACAAAGTTATGTGATGGGGGGGGAATCAAACTGATAGGCACTTTGCATCAAAACAGTCTTTAGTGAAATTATTACAGTGACTATTTTCCCTTACTACCTCTAAAGAGTAAACCCAAAAGGTGTGTAAGATGTGATATCCCTTGGTCCACCACTACCAGGGCAAATCTAGTTGCACTGTATGCTGTGCATTGTTAGGCATCCACACTGGTGACTGTTAGTGTTAGAGAGCTTGGCTATTACCTGAAGTCTCCATTTTTTGTTTGTCTTTTCCTAAAGATAAAATGACAAATACCAATAAGCTACTGCTGTACTGAATAGCAGCATAAACCATCTGCAAAGGAAACACAAGCTTCAAATGGTTCCAAAGGCCTCCATTCCTTTCAGTTTTCCAAGCTGTGCAATAAAAAACAACCCCTCCAAGTCTGCAGAAGCATTTGCAGTGGGCATCAATCTGTTCACAGGACTAACTCCACCAGAAAAGCATGTAGGTCAGCTGCACAAACTCCCTGCCAACTGCAATGGTTCTCACTGAACAATTCTTGAGAGACCAGGCTCTTACATGTGCTTTAGAATTCACCTTTGAGTCTGAACATTATCTGGTACAACCAGTGCTGTCAGAGCTAAAGGTGAGTTTTACTTCATATAAATCTTACTCCCATAGCCCCTGCCAAGGCTCAAGCATTTTACTGGTTTCTGCCAGTAAACACAAACATAGCCCATTTTTAACATACCAGGAACTCTTCTGCTGCCATAGTTTTGTACAATTCAGATTGTTTCTACTACACAGCAGAGATTTTATTGGTTTTCTTCCTATAACCCGTGACGGTGCAATGAAATTTCAGCTCCCTGTATGAGAAGACTATTCAAGGAGTCCAAGAGACTCAAAAGAAAACCAGACAGAGCTAAGATAAAAGCAACTTTTATTAAAATACTCTTCAAGCTTCAGAAAGCATAAATTAATGAATGTGTAGCTACTATAATACATTATTTTACAGGAGAACCACAGGGCTGTGAAGCTTTTCTAAACACAAGAAAGCCTACAAGCTTCACTCTGTAATAAATAAATACTACCATTTTATCTCGTTCTTGTCGCGGGTGTGTTGAAGCTCTTACAGGTACACAGCAACATTCTGCTCAATTTCTTTTTTTAAGTTTTCCACAACATGAAAGTATCACTAGTCTAAGCAGCAGAATCTTTATATTGAGTTGCACTTCAATTCACAACATTGGAATATAATTTTTAATTTATCTTTGCTTGCTTAAAAGCAGTCTGTCTTCTTGCTGTACTTTGTAAAACATTTACAACCACTCTAAAACTGACTTGCTGAAAATCTAGTGAAATGCAAGAAAATTATCCTGGTAAGTACAACAGTTTGAAGTAAGTGCAAACAATCCCTCTTCATCTTCTTCCCCCAGCCCCAAAATCAAGGTAATACATCATCTTATTCTTTTGTTTAAAGTTTTCTGCTCTCTAACAGCCTACAGTAGCTCAAACTTAGCAATGCAAATGACTCCTTTCAGGCAAAGAAAGAACTGAAACAGCCATCTCGCCCCCCACATTAGGATATTCAGCCACCCAAGTTGTTCTGGTTTATATATGTATTTTTTGTCAACTAATGATTAGCACATAAACATTTTCATCTCATTTTTTACACATCAGTAGGAAAGTGTTAGAAAAGTATAGAAAAGGCTAGAATTTCTCTCGCAGAAAGGCTAGTGAAATATGTTTTCTTTTTCCTTTTTTTTTTTTTTTTTTTTGGCAAAGCAGATGGAAAAGAAGAAAGGAAGTGTTTGTATTTTGCTTTTGCAACTTGGGTAAAATCACTGGACATTAAGAACACGTGCTGAGACTTCATGGTGCCAGTCACGTAATTTTGTATATTTGGGGCTAAAGGCGTGGATGGGAACCTTTTCCCTGTGGAAAGAAGTGATAGAAGAAAAATAAGAAAGAAAGAAAGTTTGTCTTATGCAGTTTAACAAGTGAGCATGCAAACTCCATGCACTATTCCTATCTGCACGTTGTCTTCCCCTCTGTCAAAAAGTTGGATCCAGTGTTAGCCAAAGTCAGGAGAAAAACTCTCACTGACTTCAAGAACCATTAGAGTTAGCCACTGGTTGGTGCTCATTTTAAACAATGCTTATCCTAAAAGCAAGGAGCCAGCTGACCCTCATTCACAGTCCAGAATGACAGTACTTCCCATCTATGCCTTGCAATCTGAGCCACACTCACAAATCAAAACAGCTTGGTTAGACAGGAAAAAGTAAACACATCAACAAGCTGACCTACAGAAAACCAAATCAGTCCAAGTTTACAGAAAATCTCTGCACAGACATTACTACTGGATTGCACCAACAGATTTTAAAAGGTTTCTCTATGGAGGGATGTATATCTTCATTTTCACATGCTGAAGTAAAAGGCAAAAAAAAAAAGAGGCAACATTTAAAAACCAACCAAATACCACACAAATGCACCAAACACAACAAGTCAAGAATTAAGACATGCAAAATATTAAAGTAATAAAAATACAAAACATCAACTCACTTAGTCTTCTTTGCAGCTTCATTTTCTGGTTCTTTCACTGCAAGAAAACAGAAAATTTTTATTTTCTAAGGCACTAGAGATACTGTGCCACCTCACTGAGATTCTCCCCAGTCCCAATACATTCACCACAGAAGAAAATTGCAGCAAGGCTTGTTAGGACTCTCTGATTCTAAATATGCCCCAATGGAAATGAGTTATGTCTATAAACTTCAGGAGCCCCTCTGCTAGAAGGAGTGGTGAACAGTGGCTCGCCTGGTCTCTGTCCATTCCTTTCCCTGCTCTCCATGTTCACATTGAGAGCTGATTTGAGAAGGTGAAGACGAATGGAAGTTGAGAGGAATTTCTTTTGGACGAACATCTAGTGGGTTTATATCCAAGCATCTGTTTGCAGCCAGGCTATGACCCATCAAGGTACTACAGGTCTGCACATGGCCGATGTAAACTCCCAGACCTGATTTTAAGATTGGCAACTCTAGTTGCAGTCATTGTCTTACAGTATTTGTCGACATAATAAATTCATCATGGTGTTCAGATCTCATACTCTGCCCTTAGAATGACTAATGAAGCAAATCCAAACACAGACAATGATTAGCAATTGATTAGTGCAAAGCAGGACCACAAACCAATCAGGTAACTGTCCAAATTCAGAATATTTATCACACATGGACAATAATTCTTATTTGCGGAGATGTTATCATTGTCTTCTAGAGATAGCTGATTTAATCAAATCTGACTCTGGGGAGAGGGTCCAATACCTTCTTTATTGCAGCCCGAGCTGTGAAAAGCAGAAGAATGAAAAAATCACCTCTACATTACCTGCCTCTGTCTGAACATGACTGAGCTCAAAGCTCCTGTTGGCACTTCTTATGGCTTTTACACAAGATTATGAATCTAGGTCAGCGAATTTTAACTGACAGCGTAACATGAAACTGAAGTTTTCCGATAAAATTCTATGACTGGGAATGACCTTCTCCACATCACCTGTTCCAGTCCACCAATACATGTAATCACACCATAGTATAAGCAGAGAATGCAAACACAACCTATGAATAAACTGAGGAAATAAGGATTTATGCTTCCGATTGATTAAATCATTGCAGATCACATCCTTCTGTATGACTGACAGAGACTTTCTACACCTTTTTTTCTGAAGCTGAACAGGAATGCTGCCATTTTGGTGATACAAGGAAGGAGAGAAACAACAAACACCTTTGGGAGTAGAAATGGAAATTTTAAGATTTATCTAGAACATATTAATATTCAACTCAATCAGGAGTAATGTCTAGCAATGTATAACCTGAGCAATTTAGCAACTGCAGGAGTTTTACAACAATATATTCCTTTTACTATCTCCCCTCACCTGCAGCTTTTAGAAAGACCTGTCTGCCCAAGATGATTAACTCTTATTCATTTTGCCCAAGCACTCACTATGATCGGTGCCGGTGATCTGGGCGAGGATGCGGAAGGAACGGGACTGGGTGGTGCCTGTCCGGGGGTGCCAATCCTCGGTGTCCTCGATCAGTCGTTTCTTGCTGGCATCACTGTGGGTGGGTGTGTGGTAAAACTCTGTGTAGGTATCCACGATGTGCTTCCGTGGAGGGCTGTGCCAAGGAGAGGAGAGAACTGTGACTGAAAGGATTCAGAGACCACCTGAGTTTGGGTAGCCACAAAGACATGGGCAGAACTATGACTTTCCACAGCATTTAAAGGCAGCTGCTGCATTTGGATGCACAAGTGCAGCAGCTCAGGCCCACCTAACACAGATTCAGCTCTCTGAACCAAACACAGCTTTATAATTACTCTAACCTGACTGAAATGGTATGCCCTTGTTTCACCAATGGAACATTTAAAACAGTAAAAGACAGTATTATCAAGACATTTACATGTTTAAACTGTTACCGTTTAGGTGGGTTTTTCCTTGGAGATGACAGAGTAAGACAGCAAGAGAAAGTTTTCCCAGCATTAGCAGGAAAAGGAGAAAAAGGAAAGAAGAAATAGTCAGAAAGTTGAAACAGAAGTGCAGCTAATTATTCTACTGAATTAGTTTTGCAAGAAAACGTGCTAAAATCAAATTAATAGGGATACTCTTGTTCTATCACTAAAACTACTGCACAGAACTCCCATTTCTAAATTAAACTCATAGTGATTTCCTTGGAGGGACGAGAGGGGAATTTGTTTTGGTAAAGCAGGGTAGTCTAGTTAGTTCAGATCAGGTGCCCCTTGACAAATTCTCTCCTTGGCACACGAGAGGCAAAGCACAGCTATGAGCATGTGGAAGGGCCACCCAGCACATGCCAAGTCTTTAGCATCTGGCAAAGCCTGGATCAGAACCAGGCCGTGTTAAAGCTCAGGCAGCAATGTTCTGGAGCATAATGAGGAGACACTGATGCTTGATACCCTATTTGAAAGACAAAAAAGCAG